CTGGAAATATCCCATGTCATTGACCATGTGCAACCAGTTTAATCCTCAATTATATTACAGAGATCATGGCCAGTTAATATTAAATCAATTTCCCAAATCGAGGAGAGCATGAAAACAATAATTCCAAACACAAATTTACTAGCATACATGAACCATAAATGAATGAACAAGGCTATGGAGTTCAAAACATTCGGGAAAAAAGAAGTACAGGCTATTCAAGTGAAACGACTAGTCCTTGTTACCTAGCTTTCCTCAACCACTTAAGTGTATTCTCTAATGTCGTGTATGCAGTAACATCAGTCAAGCTCTTGCTCTCAACTGCATAACCAAACACTTCATAAGCATCTGCAACTCTGCCATTCCTACACAACGCCCTCCAAAAAGTTCCATAAAACCCAGTTTCCAGCTTCATATCACCTTTCTTCATCTCCCCGTACAATTCAATCGGCTTATCTAATAATCTCGATTTACACAACCCATGTAGCAATTTATATGTGCGTGAATTTGGCTCACATCCCTTCATTTCCATCTTCTCCAACAAAGCCAATGCTCCCAATGCATCTCTTTCCGTAAACATCCCAATCATACTAGTATAAGTCACTAGGTCCGGCTTTATATTGAACTCCCGCATATCCTCTATAAAGCAATTCGTTGTACCCGAAGACCTGTTCTTGACAAGGTGCCTAACCAGAAAATTGTATGTATAAATATCAGGCGGACAATTCTTGGTCGACAACTCCTTGACATAGGGGATGACACTACACACACATGTGGAGGTCGGCATTATTTAATTCAGGTCGGGACCCACATACAATGTGGGGGTCGATCAACCCCTATGTCAAGCATTATATTCATTTAGCTTAATTCAAGATAATGATGAATAAGAAATGGATTTAATGAATTTGCGAAGGAGTTCGTGCGAAACCCGGAAGTGTACTGTATCGTTGACAAGTAATAGATTTAATAAGTTGAGAGTATCATTCTACATTGAATAAATTCAATTCAAGTTTACTAACTTCGTATGGAATTCGGACTATATAACACAAAATAGTTTTTTATTTGGTTTTATACTAAATTAATATAAGAAAGCAATAGAATGTTTTTTTTTTATCAATTTATGGATGATTGTATTAGATTTGGAATCCACGTATCTCTATTTCAATTCTTGATTTGTAATCTAGTTTCGTTTATGCGTCTTATCAATCAATAAAGTTATGATATACACTTTTCTTTTCGAAGACAGTTTAAATTTATCTTAACTCGAATTCGAATGATTAGAATGTATTAAATTTATATTATTTATATGATTGCACACGTGATAAATGTTTTCCTAACATCTATTGCACATATATTAATTTTTCCGTGTTCTCAACTTATTGTAAGTCTCTCAACACTAAAACAAGTAACTAATTATGTAATTGGTGGCCAAATATTAAATAATGCAAGGATTATACAAAAAACGCAATAAATAAATAAATTAAATTACTATTTTTGAATTAGAAATAAATAACAAATAGGGTTCATTTTCTACCAATACAAAAAAGAAGCTAGCTCAACATGTTTTTAAATAAATTATAGAAAAATATCACTCGAATCATAAAATAATTCAAAAGATGTCGATCTTCAAGTGTAAGATTGAATTCTTCAAAATCTTGATGTAATTGACTTTCAATTCCTTGTTAGGGCTTGATCTCCTCTATCAAAACATAGCAATTGACCCCCCTTTTTTTGATGAATTTGACGATGCTATTGTGTATGAAGAGGCAAAATAGAGTTTTTCCATGTATAACCCTTATTTTCTATTTATAAGAGCCAAAAAACAGGTTAAATCGCGTCCAATTTGAGTCTCGAAAGAGTTTGAATTGCTAAAAAAAATTGTTGCTTCATCTGCAAAAATAGCTCGTGGCGCATCGGCATAACTATTGCACATGCGTCGTTGAGCCAATTAGCTCTCGGGTTGGATAAACAATGTCTCACTCACGCGCCAATTTGAGCGGTATCTTCCCTAAGCACCTTTTGATATTTTAGTTATAACTCTCTCTCTCTCCCCCTCCGATTAAGGTGAGTTAAAGTGCATTAAAAATATAATTCAAAGGGCTACAATTTTTTTAAGAATATTCCAATTCAAATGTTTGCTAATCGAAAATGGGTGTAGGCTAAAAATTTGGAGTATAACTTGTTTGACTGGAAATCGATTTGTGAAAACACTTCTACTATATTTCACTCGTTTGACCTATAATTGCATCCAATTGATTATATTCTTTAATAATCATTTTATGGTCTGAATTAACTATTGAATATTTACACTTTGGTTTCCAAATTTTGGATTTCTTTTGTTTTCCCCGTTTTTCGTTTCTTTCTTCCAATTTCCCAATTTTTCTCGAATTTTACCTAGCAAACAAAATTGAGCAATAAATTAAGTCATAAATCATCAAAATTAACGACAATTAATCACATTTAAAATGTCCAAATAAGTGTATAAAATACACTTATCAAGAGGTTTATCACTGTTGGCATTGATGGCTTCTAATAGGGTTGGGTCTTTATGCTAGCTGTTTGACATGATAACATTTTTGTCTAACTTCCATCTAGTTAGTGATATTTTAAAAAGTTATCCCTATGATAAGATTAATGAAGAAAAGTCATTTTCAATCGTCTTGTCTTGTTTTTTCCTATCCAACGTAACAAATATATTACAAGGACATGTTGGTAGGCACTACTTGACGAGATTGATAAGTACAATTTATGAAATTTTAGCTTCTTTTGTGTCTTTAATACTATCAATTATTGTACAATCCATCTTACATAACTATTTACAAATGACTTAGATAACAGTTCCCGAGTGTTACTTATTTCCAGGGTTGGGGAAAGACAACTGTGTTTGGAATGGAAAAACTCTCATGGGAGGCTTGTTTGGGGGTTTTAAACCAAAAACTGATGTTTTACAGGGACAAGGTAATTCATATAAATGTTCTGTCTTTTGTTATTTTCAGGCATTGAATACTTCGGAATACTATTGAATCTTTCTTCTTAAACAAACATCTAGGAACTACAACTGGATCATTTCATAATACATGAGATGAAATTTGAAGACATTAACAGAGCTTTCAATTTACTTATGGAAGGGAAGTGCCTTCAATGCACTATTTGATTGGACAAAAATGATTAAGCTCATCTCATGCTTCACATATGTATTGTATTTAGAATATACAAGTCGAGGTTTCTACCGTGAACGCGTGTCATTATAAAAACTTTGAACTGCTTGCTCTGATGCTGTTTAAAACCGTTCATTTGAATAAGAAGTATTTGGTTTTTAAATCACTTTGTTTGACATTTGAGTGCTTATTTCTGTTTCTGATTATTGAAAAGTATAATCAAACAGCAGAATTATCTCCTAATTAAGATACAGTGAATCCACTAGATGCCCCGGTGAAATAATTAATGGGGGAATCTTTAGTTTTCTTAAATGATCCATAGTGTCTAAAGCGATAAACCCCAGGACTGGCCTCCTCTGGCACTTCCCATTCCATAGTTGCAAATCCATAATTACCAGAAAAATCAAACTTGGGGTCCCACTTGAAGTAGAGGCAGAAATCGTCGTCATCATATGCAGGCACCCACTTCCCCCCCTGTAGCATCTCTACCACAGCAAATGTGCCTTCTGTCAGTAGATCATACCTCGGGTTTGCACTCCAAAATGTGGCAGTTATCCTGTCTCCTTTTTTGAATGAACCAGTTTTTACGTCTTGTTTTATATCGCCAAATTTTACCCGTGGTGGAGGAGAATCCCCCGAAGGATCTTGTAAAAAGGTAAGTTGAACAGAGGAAAGATCAGGTGGTGATGGACCTTTTGCAACTGTTCTGTTTCCACTTGCAATTGCTTGTGCTAGCTTCTTGAATTCTTGGATATACGCAGATAACGTATGAGGACCATAAAGTGTAGACGCAGCCTGTTGTAGGTTCACATTTAGTTCAAACTTCTTGACAATATCACAAGAAAAGAATGTTAAAATGTTTCTTGTTACCTCGTATCGTTGCTGTATGTATTCTTCAAAAGTGGCAATATACTGCGAGTAAGTGTTCGATAGACCTGCTATGACAATATGCGTGTCATTATCAAATTCCCCGTTTCCATTACTTATCAGTGTTTCTTTAACAGCCTCCCTTAGTCTCCTGCCAGACATCGTTGTGAACTCTGCAAATATATTAAGGTAAGGCGACTCTGGCTCTGGGCTTAGATTATTTTCAGCATCCTTTAGTATATGTCTTCTATCATTAACATTTATGCTAGAAATTAGTATTCCGTAATCTTTATATACGAGTCACTTGGCAGATTAGATGTCTTTCGGATTACTTTTTCCCTGTGGCGAATTATTATTTAAGCCATTTTCATCAAGAACATTAGTATTAAGCTAAGAAATTGCGATGGAAGAAATCACAGACCTCCTGGTACAGATAGTATGACTAGTTTCCCCAACCTGAGAATTTGAATTGGAAGAATTGATGGCTGCATAGATTAGGAAAAAAACTAGTCAAATGCTAATTCAAGGTCATTTTTCAATTCAGATTTTTGTTTTCCCTAGTCATCCAGTATTGAGTATTCCTCTGGTGTGTTGAAGTCACAGTACTAAATAGAACTCAACAGGAATATTAATGTAGTTTTGACTTCTTTTTACCGCCCACGGATAAGGCCAATCCATCTCTCCTGTGTCAAGCAAAACAGTCTTGGGTTTTTGGCAATCCACTTGGTACTGGCTTGGTTCTTTTATTGCATCCCTCACTGTTTTCCAGAACTCATTAATCTGCATACATAATTGATCCAAATATCAAGACAAAAGCAACTAAATTTACCAGAGAATGTAAAAACAAAAGAAGATTTAATAAAAGGTTGTTAAAAAAACATATTGTTAACCTCAGGATCTCCTTGTTGAAAACCAAAAACACCAGGTCCATCGGTGGTTCCAGCAGCAAAACCCGGGCCAAGAGCTGCTGGGCACGTTTTCACGACCTGGTTTCCCTCTAAAACAACTTCAATATTTGTGAAATTCAAGTATACTAAACGATAATCAATTTTTCCAGTTATTTCCTCTTTAGCAGATGTAAACAAATCCACTGCCTTTTGAAATTGTCTCTCCCCAATGATCTTTGTGCTCAAGATTTCATCTGGATATCTGTACACAGTTATTACAAACGTGTATTAATGAGACATTATTAACGTTAAACTCATTCAAGTATAGGAAAAGCTAAAAATAAAAGTCAGACTATTACCCATTTATGAACATTGTGGACATGTGTCCAGTCTTTGATAAGAAATGAAATAACGTACACATGATGGGAGAGTTGAATAAAAGTGTCTCATCTCAAGAATTTAAACTTATGGATGAGTGGTTCAACAATACGTACCCTGGACCACGGCCGACACAGAGCTGGTCATTGCCATGGCAAGAGGAGTGATTGAAATCGCATGGCTTTCCACTGTCTAAACAGAATGCTCCTAACACATTGGGGCTTACATCTCCAACATTTGATTGACAAAATGCTCCTATGAATCTTGATCCATTATATTTTCTCACTTTAGAGCTTTGGCTAGCATTTTTGGTGCATTCTTGTCCTCCTGTGGCCTTGATTATTGATGCTTTCTTTAACATTTTTGCTGCTCGTCATCAAAATGCAACTTCTAAGAGAAAAAGAAAGGATCACTTGTGCCTAAACAAAGTGATGAATCATTAACTTACACAAAGAATTAGGTCCTCTGTCGATAGTTGTGGATGCATTTGTATTAGGACCACCAAACCAGTCTTCAAAAAATCTGGCAGCAGCCCCCTTGTTGTCACCACTTATGAGCTTGTTGTCTCGGCTCATGGAGGTTCCATGGGTAGCGTACCAGTTGAATGCACCCACGCTGTTTCCACTGTTTTTGTCCACAAATTTCAAAAGGGTCATTAGAGTGTCCACATTCCGTGGATATCGAGCCCTTTCCTCTGGGGGGTTAAAAAGGTACGCACTCGGACTCCTGTTTATTCCAGCATTCTCCACATCTCCTGGAAATTAAACCGGCAAAATCATTCAGCAAGATTAGATCACTTAGTATTGTTATGATAATCAGCTACAAAGCACACATTAATCTCCTTGTTAGGGTGGCATATCCACGTCTAACTTGTATTGAATGATCAATACTCATTGAACACTCCACTATATATATTCTTGAAAATTCCACGTGTGACAAACACTTTACCACCACGCCTCTTGAACTTGTTCGTGAAACATCTATGTCATTGTCTATGCTTCATGAATAAAATATGGAAAAGAATATAGGATATCTAAACGCAATATAGATGCTTTTTAGTCTCTTTTACCTGTATTAATGAAAATGGAACCAGGCTTAAGATTATCATGAGCCTGTACTATGCTAAGCTCAATTGCAGTCACAAGGGCCTCAAATGATTGTGGAACGAAGCCTAGAGAAGTTACTGAATAAGTCACATACTGCAAATAACCCCCTGGACCAGCATGGGTATGGGTACCACTAATAGCAACATTATCTTCCTTGTACAAATCCCCATACCTGAAAAAATAAAAAACACATTGTGGCCAAATCTTATAGACCCACAAAAATGATTAGCAGAAAAAATTAATATAAACCTTAATTTTAGTCTCTCAAGAAGTTTAATGGTGACAAGTTGAGAAGCCATTCCAGCATCCAGATTAACAAAAGCAAATCTTGTACCACCTTCTTCACTTTCAGCCACAATGAACGTCCTAGCTCTCAGTCTAAAATGTATACCTGCTGTCACCTGCTGGAAATTAGCATACCCCATCATATTCACATCAGCAGCTGGACCAGTCATGTCATAGCTTCCCAAACCAATTAAGTATTCTCCATTAGCAACAAATACTAGCGAGCTTATCACAGAACACAGGAAAGTTAAACCAAGTTTCCAGCGCAAATACATTTCTCTTCTCTTGCTAAGTATATATTCTTACAATTTACATTCACGGCAATGTATAAATATAGAGAGGGAGAGAGTCTGTAATGGATCAAATTGGAATTTCTTGTAGATTTTAATATTAACGTTTTCCCTAGTTAATTATGTAGTAATCGACATAAGAGCATTTATGCTTAGGCTGCTCCGAAGGCGCGAGTAACTGAAAGCTTGGTTTTGTCATTTATAACTTATTAATTATAAAAAAGAAAAAATAATATATTAGACAATCTACAATAAGAATATATATTATTTTCATAAAGTTGATCGTCAATACCAATTCACTATTTGACAATATCGGACCACAACATCTAATATAGAAACATCACTTCATTTGTATGACAATTAGAAGTTGCAATCTCACAGGATTTCAATTTTTTGTAAAATAAAACATTCGCAAATAGCATAAAACCCGGCCAGGCCCGACCTGTGTGATTCGGGTTCAGTAACCAAAACGGGTCGGTCAGGGCTATGCAATAGGCCAAAATCAATCGGGTCGGGTCGGGTCAGGTTCGGGCCAAAATGGACCCAGCCCGACCCGTTGCCCAGGCCAAGCAAATAGCATAAAACTCCATCGCTTATGTCCAAATATTAACAAATCAAATGTGGAAGTAAAATCCATTTCTTCAAAAAAAAATAAAATAATAATAATAATAAATAGATATAATTAACAGCTTTGGTTGGCAAGACAAAATAACTCAACCGTCGAAGCTGTCTAATGCCGACAATAATAGACAAAACTCTATTTACGTTTCCTAAAATGAGTATCCAAATATTACTTAAACGGTGTTTCTAACAATTCACAATTTTTATTTTCCGACTGATTTATTCATCGCATCAAGTTAGTACCTTACTATAGGCTAATAAAATGAGTTAGACCTATTTTGTCAAGCTAATTCTTGACCCATGGTAGCTTTGTTTTTTGGATTTAGCTCACTTGCGTCGTATCGTTTGATTGTCCATAAACCAACGATATCGATCTCCCGCTTGACCCCATTATTCTTCATTAAATTATAATTCATTTTTTTTCTATCTCCTTATTAATTACACATTTTCCAATAAAATAATATTGTACGTAAACCCCAGAACATTTCCTTCTTTTTTAACCTCATATTCTCCAAAAATTTACTATTTCTCTCGTTATAATGTGAAATAATGGAGGTCAAACGGGTGTCGAGTATTAGGACTCATTCAACATGATTTTTGAAAAAAATAAAAGGAGCTTGTAAGACCTAAAAGCAGTTTTTAGATACGTTTGACTAATTTTATGATATGAAAATGCTTCTTCTATTTAGAAGAGTTTTTAGAAAAATGTTAGTCCAATGTGACTTTATCTAAAAATACTTTTGAAATATGGTTTAGTCCAATGTGACTTTATCTAAAAATACTTCTAAAAAGCAAAATCAAAAGCAAAAACTATATCAAACGTGCCCTTAATTGGTTTTGAACCCTCTCAACTTGGCCAACCTTGGGCATAATTCTCCTTGTCCCTCTAATCTCACGCATTATGTATCTTTGCGAGTAACCCCTCTATTAAGGAACTCTTATCTTGTTCACCTCTTGATTGAGACATCGCATGCCTGCACGAGTCATTGGTAATGGACATGATTGCTCCATATGGACACGTAAACGGGACCAACCACTTGGTCAATGGAATATAATTATCCATAACTCCCATTTATTCAACTAGAAATTAATGCCTAATGTAGCCCGTCTGCTTGACTATATGGTGAGGACCCCCCGGCGTGCTAGCTGGTTGCTAGAATTCCAATCGTGACCGTATCTATCAAATTACCGTAAAGGGTACGCCAAGGTGTATGATTTAAATATTTTTTAACACATTCTTTTATGTTTAAAATGAAATTTAAACGGACAATATTTCATTAAATATAGGAAAAATTGAAGCAACGGTTCTTAACTCTTTCAATTTTTACAGATTTTACTCTAACTTTCAATTTGTGTCAGCGACGATCCCTAAGCGTTCTAAAATATGTATCTAGAGTCCAAATGGATGAAATCCATTCACTTTTTCGTTAGTTGACCAAAAAAATGATTTTGACCAGACTATTAAATATTTCTATAAAGATAAAATGATAATCTTATCTCTTTCTATATAAAAACAATTAAAATGATTAAATAAAAAATCATCACCCTCACCCCCATGCCATCCCCATCCAAACCCACATCTGCCACCCCAAAGCCAAACCCACATGTTACACGCAGTTGTCAACAACCACCCGTTGGTGTTACCACCATCGCCCACGGCCACCATCATCACAACCAACACAAAGCAAAATCCCAAAAATTACAACACAAAGCAAATCCCAAAACCAAACCCCTACTACCCATCATCGTCTACAGCCGCCCTCATCGCCACTATCGCCTACGGCCACTACTATTACCGCCAACACAAAGCAAAATTCTCAAATCACATAGATCACAATCACAATCACAACACAAAGCTAAACCCCCAAATCAACGTCTAGCTATATTAATCTTTAAACTTCCTTTCGCCATCAAATCAACGAGTTTGGCTCGAGTCGATACACCGACCACCCCATGCTTTGCAAAGCTTAACATCAAGAACTCCTCTTGATCACAAACAACACTCCTTCCTCTCTGTACATCCACCACAAACGACCCACTAGATTCATCCACTTCGCCGTAGGCTTCGACCTCGACGCCCTCCGCTACCTTTCAAACTAGCATTGGACGCATTTGTGGAGTCAGTTCAGGGTAGGGACGAAGGAGATAGTAAGTGGCGATTGAGATAGGATTGGTTTTCCCCATTTTTGGGTAGGTGGGGGTGGATGGGGTGGGTAGAAATAGATACAAAAGGATATTTTATTGTTAGGTTACTATTTTGCTCTTTTACAATTTAGTCAAAATCAACTTCTCGGCTCAACTAACGGTCAAATAGATAGACATTCATTTAAACTCTAACGCCAATTTCAGAAAGGTTAGGTACCTCCACTGACACAAATTGAAGGTTAAAAGTAAAATTTGTAAAAATTGAAAAGGTTAATGACAGCTCTGCAATTTTCCCTTAAATATTTGTAGCAATGAGAAATTCAAGACCTTACTCTCAAATCACTTAAAAAGAGAGTCCAGTTTATGCCCCGTTGCAATTAAAATTTAAAAATCAATCCAATTCAATTGATATCTGCCCCATAAATGTGTCCATATATTCGTAGCCACTAAAACTTATATGTCTACAAGACTAAAAAGAAGTACTTACAAGTGTAGTTTTTCATTATCCTAAACATGCTTATTAAAATTAAATTAAAATAATTCTTTATTTTCACAAGAAAATAAAGAATATCATATTCAGGACGTTATTTTCTTTATGAAAAGGCAGCTAAAATGATTTATTTAATACTAAAGAGATGTTGCTTCATTATTTTGTTTCAGTGGTGTTGATGGGTAATGGAAGTGGACTAGCATCACTGGCGGAGGCGAGTGAAGGTCAAGAACAGGTACTTATGCGTTACTCGTTCGTTCGTCTGCCTATTCTCAACTAATCGTGTTTGAAGAATTATATCTGTCTTTGACTCCGTCACTTACTAGCATTATGGATAGAAAAATAAAGGTATTAAGGAAATTCCAATAATTTTTGCATAAAGACCTCACAAAGACGATTAAATTACAAACTGAAGGAAGTAATCAATCCACTAACAAACTGTGCAACTCACAAAACGATTCAGTATGGACACAATGATCACTTCCATAAGACAAACCCACCCACCCCAAGTAAACAAACTTCGATATATAGAATTATATAGAAAGTAAATCAACCAAAACGACGTCACACCACTCAAATAGACATCCCCACATCATTTGTAATCATTCCTTAATGGCATGCTGACTCCTTTTCTTTTTCTTTCTCCTTTTCTTCTTCAGTCTTGGAGTGGTACCCAGGGAGCTTCTCTTTGATCTTATCCAAGAAACCCTTCTTCTCCTTGGCCTCTTCGTCGGGGTTGGCGCACTCAACGGCGGCCGGAGGTGGCGGTGGAGGCACCTCAACCTCCTCCGCCTTCTTTTGGCCGCCGGGAAGTTTCTCCTTGATCTTATCTAGGAAGCCCTTCTTCTCCTCAGATTCTTCATGAACTGGTATTTCATCACATTTTTCTACTGGTACAGAAGTGTTCTCGTACTTCTCAATTTTCTCTTCTTCCTTTTTATCACCAGATATCTTCCCCTTGATCTTCTCCTTCAAACCCTTCTTTTTCTTCTTCTTCTCTCCTCCTTCTTCCACTTCTTCCTCATCACTCGACTGCACAAAATCATTGAATTAAAAATCTTAACGTCCCAATAAAACATAAGAGCAATGAATTTATATGCATTAAGAACAAAATTTGAGAAACTTACAGAGCTGCTAGAGCTGCTTGATCGGTGGAGCTTTTGGAGTAGGCCTTCATGTTTTTTCTCTTCTTCCTTTTCCTCTTTCTTGCACTCTGGTTCAGAGACCTGCACTTTCTCTTCAAACTGAGTGGCGATCACTTCCTCCTCACACTTCTTCTCTTCCCCTTTCTTCCCAATGAAATCAAACAACCCACGGTCGGTAGCCTCCACAGGCGTTGGCGCCGCATGCTCCTCAACCTTGACAGGGGCGGCGAGGTCGTAATCGCATGGCTCATCGCTCTTCTTCTCAATGTTGTGATGATTGTACTGAACTTCCTCAGCCATTATTTGATTAATTCAACAAGAAATGATAACCGAATATATAATAAAGATTAAAGGAAACCGATGAATCAAGAAACTGGAAAACTCAAATTATTCAAACGAATAGGCTCTGTAATGCTCTGAGAGTGGCAAGTGGTGGTGGGGGTTTTATAGCAATCGCTACGCGTAACGGACGCGAATTAACTTAAATTTTATTATTAAAAAAATAGTCCAAAAGTTTTAAAAAATCAAATACTCCATTTTGTAACCGACATCCATGTGGTCACTTATCATTAATAAGAATTTTGAATGAAAACATACAAATTACTCCAACCGACTCACCTCATGAATTTATATCTGATTGTGTCAATTAACATGACATTGTTGGACAAAAGTTAAAAGAAATAAAAATTATTTTTAATTACATATTATGACTTCTATAACTTTTATCAACAACACATTTATCAATTTTTATTAAAATCTACTAATTTTTTTTTTTTAAATCAAGAACGTGATCAAACAATCCCTCAATCTTGATAAAGTAATAGACATACTACACATTATTGAAATTGAAGTTGGAGTTGAAGTTGAATACATTAGTCGTAGAGTAACAAGAAGCAAGTTGCTTAATTTTAATTCAGAGCATTTTTATGCATGCAGTGAAATTGGACAGTGATTTTATACCTCTATCCATCAAATCCCTATCGAGTTCCATTTGAAAATGACAAGAGTTTTTCGTAATGCTGACACTATGGTGATTGCATCTAGCGTCGTGGATGCATATGTAGTTTAACATTGCCGACGCTGGAGTCTTAAAACATCGTAAAAGTCTATTTGTATTTATTTTTTTAATTGACCATATCAAACTCTCATTGGTAAGGGATTTTAATTTTAAAGATTTATTACATCAAAAAACTTATGCTACTTGCTACGATGATAATTATAATTCGAATAATATTTTCTAATGTTACTAACGAATTTTCAAATAATGGAAAGATAAAATAACGCGTTGCTAAAAAGCAATTATTATGAAAGAAGAAAGTAGAAAAGTGGAGATACTCACACGCTGTCATGCTTTGCCTAGACATGAGACCAATAAAAATCCGCCACGTAAGGTGATGATGAAGAGATTTATTTATGGCTTCCAGAAACTGTCGGCCCTTGATTCAATCAATCAGTGATGGCGGTGAGCGAATTACAAAGAAAGGGACACGTGGCGAGATTCTCAAGGCCAAAATTTCTCGAGATTTCCGAGAATTTAGGTAAAGAACAGTTGTACCGTACCGTCTTTCATGTGGGCTCCGATCTCTATTCATGGATCCTTTCTCAGATTGGGGCCCACCCATTGGACAAGTGGTCGGTGTGACATTGTACTGCTGGCTATCTCATTATTATTATTATTATTATTTGTAATATCGGTAAATTACTTGATCATCACTATTCGAGTCTTAGAACAAAGGGAAGAAAGAAATAACAATGTTGAGAACCAAAGGAAAAATGTTTCTAATTGGTTTACAAAAGAAAGAAAGTTGTCGGAATTTTAAATTTATTTCTATAATTTAAGATAAATTTATAAATTAACTCGAGAATAGAGTATCATTATGTCTGAAGTCTTTTTCTTTAAGCATTTCGCTTTCTATTAATCTTTACGTTGGGCAAAACAAATGTATCATGGTAACTATGCAATGCTTAAGTTAGCAACGAGTGGCCGAGGAGAGAACTCGAGGAAAGATCTTTGTCGGTGGCGGAATAGGGACCGCGGGTCCGCGGGAAAGTCTGCGCGGGAATACATCATCACTAACAATGCAATGCTTAAGTTAGCAATTTTAAGAAAGCGGAGGTTGGTAAGTGTGAACAAAAAAGGTTGAACACTCATTTCCTATGTGGTGTCATGTGGCCGACCTTGTAATGTGCAGAAATGAAAGTGATACCAAAGATATTTGATTTCGAGTACAATCTTGAAAACATTGAAATTTTTTTTTTAGTCATTTGGAGTTATATGTCAATCACTTCTCGGTAATAGAAAAAGGGTAAAATCTCCTATTACATTTTTGGGATTGTCCTATGAACACACCATGATTCCTATAGTAAATTGACTTGTGCACAATATACTAGTTGGCAAAAATAGATCCAAGTGATAGTATTTTGCTAAAGAAATTTTTCGAAGTCGTGCTCAATGTATCTCGGATTAATGCTGAGATCTAGCTATTATCGTCTCTTGCATGTCCTCGAAAATTTTGAGTATGTACAAATTCTTCCAATTTGTGTTCTATAATGCAATCTGTTATATAAATAAGCAAACGTTCCTTACAATTATAAATAACAATTATATGGCTGATCATTGTAGGTATAATGGTAGACACCCGGAACCAAGTTACTTTTATTTCTTATTAAGCCTATCAATTTTTCTTAATAAATGTTTGACTACAAAAGGATTTGTCTCACCTTCTTGGACTGTTCTACATGTCTATTGCTAGATATTTATACAAAAAATATATTGTGTGAAAGGGATAACTAAATTGGATGAAGTGTCCAATAGGTGAAAATTGTGGAATTTGTGTAGAAGGCCGGGGTTCGGTTGACATCACACGCGATAATTAAATAGTCTTCAAACTAGCCAGTATAGTATGACCCTTTTTAAACAAACAATTATCAACAACCCATTAAAAATTGCAAATATTTCTGGATTATGGTGGATGCAGTTATATCTATTCTGGCTATATAAACACATATCTACTTTGAAAAAAATACATCAAAAACGAAATTATCATTTTCATATTTTGTAATTTTTCATATTCGAGTTTTATATATATATATATATATATATATATATATTTTAGTACACTTGAAAGTTTTGAAACCATTCGTGATTACTGCACAAATGGTTTGTTTGATTATTGTATCCTAGAGTGATTGTTCACAAAAGTTGCAGCAGTTAACGACTAACAATTTCACTATAGGATATCGTACTATCACGAGACTCGATCATTCGATAAATTCTAGTTTCTACATTTTATAGTTTCACAATTTATGGCAACTAATCTTCAGCTTTATCATCTTACCTTCTGTATAATTCTAACTATCCCACCAGCATAACATTCATCAAACATAAAGATATTAAGCCATCAAGCCTAGCAAATAACACATTTTCTGAAAAATTTTGCTGCAGAAATTCAAATAGTGGCAGACACTTAATCACATGAGGGGGAGTTCTAAGAAGCTAAGCAGATCATACAAAAAATGGAGGAAAAGGAAAAATGATCAGTTTGTTGTCTACTCAAAAGATAATAATAGGTTTTCTGTTCGTCTGTGTTATCTGAATCACCCTATTCTCAGAGTGCTGCTGGAGATGGCGAAGTGGAGTTTCGATTGCTGATTCACCGGCCAATAACAGTTCCTTGTGAGAAAGAATTAGTGGAGTACTTTCTTGGTGTATTTGGTAGGATGAATTTGATAGCATTAGACAGTTTTAAAGAAGAAAATAAAACTAAAATCTTGTTTAGAGTACTGTCCAATTATGTTTAGTATAGTCAAATTTGATTTAAAAACTTAAAATGTTAGAAATAGCCATATGTATATCATTTAAATATTATCTTCAACACGTCTTCTCACATGTGGTGAGATTTAATTTTTCACATCAAAGCCTAATATGTGTAAAATTTATTAGATAGGACCACATGTATATCATTTAAATATCGTCCTCTCAACAAAGAGGCACATAGTTATACATGCATCAAATTATACTTGCACACCAATAGACTTCCATGGTTTTTGGCATACTTCATAGTTTTGATTCAGCAAGCTTTATCAGATCCTTCCTAAGAATCTTGCCTGAGGGATTTTTTGGAATGGACGCTGTGAATGCCACTCGTCGAATCTTCTTGTATGGTGCTACCTGTTTAGCGATAAAATCCATGACTGCACTCTCCGATATATAACTGCCTGTTTTCCTCACCACATATGCCATGGGAAATTGTCCAACCTTCTCATCCGGGAACCTAAATTATAGCATTCACAAGGTCAATTTCATTCAGATTATCTCATAAGGCTCAAAAGTTATACTTTTTCATCAAACAAATGTAAAATTAGATGAAACCAGAACTTAAAGTTACTTACGGTATAACAGCTGCATCAGTAATATCCGGGTGAGTGAGTAACAAAGCATCTAATTCTGCTGGAGGAACCTAAGATGTTGAGTATATAATTTATTAGTTGGAATTTTTATTTCTGTCCACATGGGATTCTTGAAAAGGAATTTCAGGAACATTATTCGGTTAGTGTCCAATCCCGTATCCGAATTATCATCAAAGAACTAAGTGCGAATTAAGTGCCATTTAAGAGAAGACTGAAGATCTCCCACGAGAAAGATTCATGTAGCCGATCCTAGATTTACAGTAATTTTTGAGTTCAAGAAAAGATCAAGTAAATCAATGTCATGTTCACCTGGTAGCCCTTGTACTTGATCAGCTCCTTCAACCGATCAACCACAAAAACGAATCCATCCTCATCGACATAGCACAGATCTCCAGTTCTTAACCATCCGTCTGAATCTAGGGTTGATGCCGTAGCCTCTTCATTGCTAAAATAACCTACAACATCATATCATTTAATGGATAGATTGAAACGAAAGCAGTGATCCAATCCAACCACGAAATGCACAAAGGTGAATTAGTACCAAAAGGAATGAGATATCAATAAGTTTCATAATCAAAAACAGTCTTAATGAGATCCCATGTGAGAACATTAATTGCGATCGTTACAACAAGATTGTAATAGAGGTGACAAAGAAACAATGAACAAGAATAATATGGATCTTACTTAATTTACTAATGTTAGGAAACTGATGGTCAGGATTATTTCTAGTACATCCTCAACCAACAGTACTTAGATGATATTCCACTTTGACAGTTGTTCACGGATGGGATGAAGATCCCAAAATCCAACTTCGAACAAAAATTTAAGACGATCTAATACGCATAAAAAAAAATAAAATTACACGTAAAAAAATGTTGTTTTTTTTTAAAAGGTGAATTGGGAATTTGGGCTGGGGAACAGGCTGTAGCACAGCCCAATCCCCCCTAGATCCGCCAATGCCCTTGTCATATTGCTTCTCAACTTGATGTAATCGGTCGTGTCATTCGAAAATGAACTATGGGTATCGTTTTTCGAATGATTTGATTGATGGTATGTATTTTTTTTATAAATGCTTTTTTTAGTTGTCGATATAATTAGCTCGAATTTGGTTACGGGTGTTCAATAAGTACTGAGTTGACTTGAAGCAAAATCAGAAATGTCAATATGTGAAAGATTGATCCTACTCCCAATCTTGATCTTGGAGAGTAAACCTAAAGGAAGCATGAACAATGCACGCAAGGCAAGATCATAAGCCCATGTTTGAGCCACATTATTTTTCTCATTCTTATTCTTCTACTCATTTTCAACTACACATTCTTCAATAAAATAATATTTTTCATCACATCAATATCTTTTCTTTCTTTTTCAACCACATATTTCCCATCACATCAACAGTAAAAATGCATTCTTACTCCGAAAAATCTAAAAAATATGTCAAGGTACAACCAACCAATTAAAACCCAAGAAAACTTGGAGTTAGAGCATTTTTGAGGTGGCTTATCTTAAATATAAGCTTCAAATATGTCGCTTATGTTTAAGATAAGTCACCTTAAACACGCTCTTAGTCTAGAGCCAACCGTGTGCTAAAAGATAAATCACACATGAAATAAATATAAAAATTAATTAATATGTAAGGATTTTAGTTACTCTCCTTGACAAAGTTAAACTTTAAATCTATGATATCAGAATTCATCAAACTCAAACGAGCAATCTAATCCAGAACTACTAAGACTCAAATGAACACACATTTTTTTAAAATTTGTTCTCTCAAATGAGCAACCATCTGAATTTTCAGAAAGATTCACTCCATGCATGCAAACTACTATATAATTATTGAAATCCTACGGGATTTAATCTAATTGACTTTCCATGGTTGAATTGGCCACCAAATCCACATTTTTTGGTGGCCAAACTATTTATCAATCTGCTGTTTTATAAATTCATGAGAACTTGAAGCAAACGACTCTATCGAGGATGTTTTGGAATTCCGATGTCAAGGCAATTCATTTGCAACTTCTTAGTCCATAGTTATTTTATTGGTTCCTAATTTCAGCGTTCTAAAAAGTGTAAAACGTGACTAGGTGTGGAAGCGAAACTCCAAACTTTAAGAGCCTAAGCGAGTCAGGCGAGACTTAAGCGTAAAAAAACGTTTTCTTATTTTTAATATTCTTTTAAATTTTTAATCATTTAATAATTAAAATAATATAAATCAAACATCTAAAATTATAAAATATTATATTTATTTAATATTTCTTAGGGAAAATTGCAGCCACGGTACCAAACTTTTCAACTTTTTGCAGACTTTACCCAAACCTTTGTTTTGTGTTACCCACGGTACCAAACCTTTAAACATTTCGCACCCGGAGTCCAAATGGACGGTTTCCGTCCAGTTGACCAATAATTAAAGTCAGACCAATTGTTGGCCAATTTTTAAATGGTAAATATGTAACTTTACATTTTTCCTATCAAAAGATTAAAAGAAAAGAATTAAATAAAAAAAACCGTTTACTGTTCATCTTCTTCCATCCCTCCCTTTCAATCACCAGAAGGCCTTTTCCGATGAAAATTCAACTAGTTGATTTCAACGTCCAAACCGAACCACCTATACTTGAGCCGGTGAAGACAAACTAAACCACCTATACCAGGAATAGGCTGCCGGCAACAGAGGCGTCGATGAGCCTCATCACTCTAACACGAATGGTCAATTGGTTCAATTGATGGATTACCCACGGTATTATGGGCCTCAATTGAATGTTGTTGGGTAGAATCCATAATTTGAAATGCATTTAGTCGATCAATTGACTGATTGCATATTCTCGCAGAAACCGTTCGTGAGTAGAAAAATTATTATGGACATCGATGTGCAGGATTGGTTTTGATGAATCAAGGCTATGAAATTGGTCGCCTTGGTGAAGAGATTCGGTTGATGGTGGTTTGCGATTGTGGGTGTCGCCGGAGTGGTATGAATCTGGATGGAAGTCGTGTGTTGCTTGCGTGTTGAAGCCAATTTTTTGTCTAATTTGGTTGTTGTTTGGGCTGATGCTTGCAATGGATTTGGGAAATGGGCCAGTGGTGGCGGGGTGGTGGTTGAACTTATTTGGTGGAAATTGTGTGTAATTTTGAAACTGCCCTTGTCTATTTTGTGAAAATTATTAAATTATAATTTTTTTTTTATTTCTAAGGTCAACTAACGATTTTCGTGGTTAACTGGACGGAAACCGTCCATTTGGACTTCGAGTGCGAAATGTTTAAATGTTTGGTACCGTGGGTGACAAAAAACAAAGGTTTGGACAAAGTCTGTAAAAAGTTGAAAGGTTTGATACCATAGCTGCAATTTTCCCTAATTCTTATCATTAGTTAATTATACAATTTTCAAGATTTCGAAATGTAAAAATTAGAATATTTTTCATAATTTCAATTTTCAATTAGACAAGTCTTACTTAATAGATTCATAGGAACTTCATACATTTTTTGGAGTTTGTAACAAAATAATGAGTTTCAAGGTCATAATTACGTAATGTAGATAACATTATAGTTGAAATCTTATTTAACTATTTAGATAAAATCATTTTTAACTTTTGTACATATAACATTTTTTAGAAACATGAAATTAAAGTCAAATGAAAAGTTTTTTTTTAAATAAAAAACTAATAAAGCGCATAGGGAAGACGAAAAAGATGAAGGAAAAAATTCAACTATTTAGGAATTAAAAAAAAAAAATCTAAGCGCGAAGCTAGACGTTCTGCCTGAACTTCGAGCCTAAGTGTCGCTTAAGCGAGCTTTTTAGAATATTGCCTAATTCCTTTGTGATAATCAATTTTTATCCTCGTCTCCCACAACCACAACCCACAAACAAAGTCACTATTGTTTAAGAAATTGCACCACTCAAAAAACTTTTAGTATTAGCAATGGACCACCACTAGAAAAGAAAATTTAAGAAATGGACACATTATTATAAATATAAATATGGCAAAAAATTAAACTAAATGCAACCATGAAAACGGCCTCGTTGGTTGTTTGGGAGAAATTATAACGGGATTATAATGATGAGGAATAATAGGTCTCAGTCTCAATATGCAATTAAGAGCTCGTTTGAATCTCATTATTGTAAAATGAGAATGAAAAATATAACCGTTATTGGACCACACACAAGAGATAGAAATTCAAAATTGATGGCTTGATGTGATGGATAACGATCATATTTTTCATTTTTATGGATGAAAAATAAGAAACAAACGGGGTTTAAAATTAATACTTGAATTTGACTTCAAACTTTAGGAGATTATAATTTTTCCCAAACATGTATAAAGAAGTAAGAATGATGCTTCACGTACATGTAACAGGTTCACAAGGGACAGCTAAACATAACACAAAGATGGGCCTGCACAGCACTATTTTTTTTAAATGCAATGTGGGGCCCCCAACAGTGAGGGATATGTAATAGGCCTGTGAACCATTTTTCTGTAAATTTAGAGCTTGTTTGATAAGAATTTTTGGGAGAAGAATTGACAATTAATTAGGTAAAATCTACTTTATTACATTTAATTCATATTATTTATACTTTGACACACGATTTGACCACGCTAAAAATTTCTCAAAAAATGTGCCCACACAAAATATTTAGAGCCACACACAAGAGATAGAAATTCAAATTGATGTCTTGATGTCATAGATAACATGCATATTCATCAATCATTTTTATGGATGAAAAATAAGAAACAAACGGGGTTTAAAATTAATACTTGAATTTGACTTCAAACTTTAGGAGATTATAATTTTTACCAAACATGTATAAAGAAGTAAGAATGATGCTTCGTGTACATGTAACAGGTTCACAAGGGACAGCTAAACATAACACAAAGATGGGCCCGCACAGCACTATTTTTTTTAAATACATGTGGGGCCCCCAACAGTGAGGGATATGTAATAGCCCTATGAACCATTTTTCTGTAAATTTAGAGCTTGTTTGATATGAATTTTTGGGAGAATAATTGACAATTAATTAGGTCAAATCTACTTTATTACATTTAATTCATATTATTTATACTTTGACACACGACTTGACCACGCTAAAAATTTCTCAAAAATGTGCCCACACAAAATATTTGTACCTTTCATAATGGAGGGCCCCCTCAGCCAAAGCTCGCCGGTGCGATTCACCGGCAGCGCCTTGCCACTCTCTGGATCCACAATCTTTGCCTCCATGCACGGTGACAGCAGCCCCGCAGTGCCGTACCGGCTGCTCTCCTCCAAAGAGTCCGTCGAGGCACCGATAGCTGTTGATTCCGTCAACCCATATCCCTGCAATATTGTTACATTCGGATACTTATCCAGGAAACCCTCTGTCACCTCCCTGCTTAAAGGCGCTCCACCACACAAGACAGAATGCAAGCTTCTTAAATCGTATTTCCTCTTGATCGCTGCCGCTCTATTCACCAGCGCCACCAGAATTGGCGGCACTAATGGTAAATAAGTGGCAGAGTATTTCTGTATAGCCATTAACATTTCATCCATCTCGAATTTTGATAGGATTACTATTGTAGAGCCGGCGGCTAATATACCCGTGGCAAAAGCTGCTAAACCGTAGATATGAAACATGGGTACTGTGCAGATGAAAGTTTGAGTTTCTTCATCTAATTTGAATCGACTCACGATTGTTTGAACCATTGCTATCAAATTTCTGTGCGATGAAACAACCCCTTTGCTTACTCCGGTGGTGCCGGAAGAATATAATAGACTGGCTGTGTCATCTTGACTCACTCATTCCTTTACTAGGCTTTGACTCGGTTCTCTTTTCATCATTGCAACTACGGTATTTACAATTTTTAACTTGCTGGGGTACGAGTTCTCAGAGTCGAGGAGAGCGATAGGGAGTTTGGAATCGGCGAGTTTAGGGAGGAGCTGAGATATAGTGAAGACAAGGACAGGCTTTGAATCGGCGATTTGCTTGGCGATTTCCCGGGAAGTGTTGAGGGGATTTGTGGTGGTGATGATGGCGCCCAGAGACATGACGGCGAGGCAAACAATGGGGAAGTAGATGGAATTGGGGCTGAGGAGGAGGACAACGTCGTTTTTGCAGATGTTCATGTGGACGGAGAGGCAGGTAGCGACGGCGTCGACGGCCCTCCAGACGTCTGAAAAGCTGAGCTGACGGCCGGTGGATGCGTCAATGAACGCGATCTTACCCCGGTGCGATCGTGAAGATATGAAGGTTGTGACATCAAGGGAGTCGTTTGAGGGTAAAGGGATTGGTTTGCGCTTGCTGTAGAAGATGGAATTAGCTTTGCAGAAACCGCTTCTTGGATCAATGGAAGAAGAAGGCAGCAGGTTGAGTTCCGCCATGGATGAAGAAACAAGAAGCTTTTTTGTAGATAAGATTCAAGAACAAACGCTTCGTACCGAAAAATAAAATATCTCTGATCAGTGGGGGTGCTTTTCCAGTTCTGCTCTCAAAAAGAAGTTTCCACTGGTGGCAACATGGAAACATTTGATTATGAACACGAGTCCACGACAAGCTGACCTTTGTTTGAATGAGTTTTCACGTCTTTACTTACCAGTGAAACAAGCTTAGCCGTGGATTAAGAATTTTGAAGCGAATAAACGGTCAAGATGTGATTGGAAGGCAGTCAGAACATTGATGCGATCTAGAAGACAGATCTTAATTTCCCACGTGTATTCTTTATTTCTTGCCCATTAAAAAAAAAAGAGAGAGATGATAAATTTGATAATTTCAGATATTCCGATTTTTAAAATTACATAAACCTCCCATATTATCATAAATTTCTCATTTTGTCTAAATATAAAACTATATTTTTTTCTTATTTATCTTTTTTCAATTTATCACATTTTTATCTAATTTTTCTTTGAAATAAATGATATCAATCCAATATTTTAACTAGAAATAGGAAAAGAAAAATATTATAACTTTGATTTTTACTTATCGTCATTCTTAATTGTATTTTTTGTATTATAATATAGCATTTTAAACATATTATAGAAATGATCTCTTATCCACGATGGACATGAGTTATAATATCCACAAACTGATGTGGCGTTGTCATGTCAGCAAGTCAAATCTATTTTTCTTTTGAAAAGTAAAATATAAAAAATACGACTTGATATTGTCACGTCAACGGTGGACAATACAATATTGTCCATGTAGATAGAAGATCAGCTTTGAAACTTAATGTAGAGCTTGTTTGAGAGAGATTTTTGGGGGAAAAATTGATTTTGAATAGTGATATGATGGGAAATGTGTGGTTGAAAAAGAAGAAAAATTATTGATGTGATGTAAAATTTTATTTTATTGAAAAATGTGTGGTTGAAAATGAGAATTGATTTACTGTAAAAAAATTTAATCCCTCCCAAATAGGGCCATAGTATAACTATTTAGGGTGGAAAAGTGTTTCACCCTCGCCCGCCTCTCAATGCCCTATCCCAACCTTCCTCCATTATTATTTATTATTTTATTTTATATTTCTAATCTAAAATCATATTTAAAAAATACACACACAATACAAATAAGTTAACGGTGATATTTTAATTTCAGTTTCGTCGTCCAAAATCATCAACAGAATATGAAACAAGAGGAAGTGGTAGTGGTGATGATCGAGGTAGGGGTGGATGGCGATCGGGGTAGGGGTGAATGGGGTAGGTGGAGAATAAGAGCAATTTTCTTTTTAAAATTTTAATTAATTAATGAAGGTCCCTTCCTATTTTTTGTTCAAGTAAGGGACTTTTGGATTGAATATGCCCAAACGTCCTTATGTTGCCTAGTTTTTGCAAACGTTTGTTACTGCAATGCCAAAAATGAAAGATTTTAAATTTCGAAGCACTTTTTTGAAAAGTTCGGGGACTCAGATGCAGTTTATGCTTTTCAAAGAAAAGAGAGATAGTTGGCAAAATTGCTCTGCCAGCCTCTTGGGACGGTTTCATTTCATATTTTCTCTTTTAATATATACTAGTGTGCATCGTGCGTTGCACGATAACCGTTAGAATTCGAATCGAACAATAACCTTTAAATTACACTATTTAAACTGCCAATATTTAAAATGCCAATAACAAAAAAAAGTGAAGAAAATGAGCTTGCTTACAAATTATATGTCAAAACATACTACAATGTTAACATTTAAAACTTGCTTAAAGTAATATGGATGAATCTAATATCAGTTATAGACAAAATATAGCCATCGTCAAACAAATCACACCTGTGAGGGATGAACTAATGGGATATGCTGGGCCCCAACAGCAAAGCACAACTCTTCTCGAAGCTAGAGATAGAAAATGATGGGGTCAAATTCATACATTTTCACTACAACTTTTATAAAGAGATAAATAAGCAACTCCTTGACAAAAAAACTGAACATAAAGAAACTTGTTTCTCAAATTGCTCATTTATTTATGTGTTTAGTAAAGGTTCATAATTTCCTACAATTTGACAGATACCAACGACTTTTAAATATTAAAATATGGCATGGTCTTATGAATATTACTTACAGTAGAATGTGAAGTTCAAATTTTTGTGAAGTTAATCCTTGATCCTCTGGAATCATCAGTTGAAACCAGAGAAGATCGTATCAAAGTTTGTGATGGAAACAAAAGAAGTTGATTGAAGTTAAGATGCAACAGATAATTTCAACCACAAGTAAAATTTTAATTGACTACAATTTCAAGAATCAAGAAAATCTTGTGAGCACAAATTCTAAAATGGAAGGGAAGGAAAATTGTGAACTCCTAATTCATTTCCTTTATTTTCTAGAATAATAAAATTTCGGATGTGTCATCTAGAATACAATTTCTGCTAACGAAGTATTTAGTAGATTTTATACTGTTCTTTCTTTCTCATAGTTTTACTTTAACATTTCACAACTTGCGAATACCTATCTATGCTACACAATGGTAGACATAAAAATGCTGTTAAATACCCAAACTCATATGGTAGTAGAGCTTAACATAAATATTAAACCTTTGTATATAATCAATAGAATGATACAAAATCAAGGACCAAGGAAAGTGGAAATGAAATTTAAAAATAAACCATCGAATTACCTCAACTAACTAAGTTTACTTAATCATCAACTAACTAATTATTTCATTGAACTGAGCTAGCAAAGGAGCCATGGCTCCATGCCCAAGCACAAGATCTCGACATTTAGAGGAGTCTCCGGCTACGTTTCCTAAGGCCCCATGAAGCCTATAAAACCAAAGTAGAAGAGACTAAATCAACTGACTATGTAAAATTCAACAATTTACAACACAACATACTAACTATAAAAATCCAAACTAAAAGAGCAGAACATAAGTAACTGAAAGGCTAAAACTATTTATATAACATATTATACACGTGATCTTGGACATCGTCACTTGCAGAACCAAATTTCTTCATTACAATACGAAAAACCAAAAAACAGATAATAAACCAAATGCAACCAACGCTAAAAGAATTCGAAAATGGAAATTATGCACGAGAACCCACCTTTAGACAACGTTCAAGCCAAACGAGAACACCAACAAAAGAATTTTACTGTAAAATGGGGAAAGGAAAATCAGGCGATAAAAAGCATGGCAAGAGCACATTTATATGACTAATTTGGTGGAACATATAATGTTTAATAAAGCTAGAAACTTGAACACCGACAAAAGAATTTTACTGTAAAATGGGGAAAGGAAAAAAGGCGATAAAAAGCTTGGCAAGAGCACATTTATATGACTGCTTTGGTGGAACATATAATGCTTAATAAAGCTAAAAACTTGTTTAAATTACGTGTTAAACTGTAAACAACTAACCTGATTGAGCACTTACAAGGGCTAATAAATAGAACTGTTCGGCAAAGTGGACATCTATTACCTAGAATATTTTATTCAAGAAATCGAAGAAAGGGATTATCAAGATGGTGGTTTTGTGAGAAATTTAGAAAATGAAAGAGAGGTCAAATGGACAGAAAACTCACCTGTCCATAGTCTGGAACAGGCATGATTGGTATAAGGGCCTGTCTGTTTGTGCTGAAAATTGAAATTCTATCTGTTAATTTCAAAAATGAGCCACACATTTTGACTCATTCACTCACAACTGGGCCCCAAAAGTTGAAAACACCGGTAAAAAAATTGATTTTTTTCCTAAAACAATCCGCACCAGACAGCCTAAATAATGTCCACAAGGAGTTGTGACAGGTTCACACAACAACTTCAAACAAACAGTGCAGTCATAATCATCAGTATGTTGAGGGTTCACATGGCTTCTCCTTGGAAACATATTGGCTGTTGATCTCTCCAAATTTAGAAGAGGACAGCTGCAAAGGAAAATTTCATAGGTCAAACAGAAGTTTATTTTAATAGAAAAAATAGCAATATCAACTCAAATAATGAAATAGTTAACAGAAAACATCTTGATGTGAATATTATATTACCTACGAGGAACAACATGAAGGCCATATCAAATAACATCCCAAGCCACCTCAATACTTTTCTAACTGCCCAACATCAAAGTGGGCAAAAAAGTTCAATTGAAATATTCAACAAAAAACACTTCTAAAACTACATAGTCCAACAATATAAGCATCGAGTCCAAGCACCATGATATCAAATAAAAGAGAACGTGAACAACAAATAAAACTAAAATAACATCGAGCACATTGAAATAACTATTGTCACTTAAATTATTTATTCAATACATTGCCTGCATTTAATTTAGCTAATTGTTAAACCAAGAATTTCTGGAAATAATTTAAACATAATTCCAGGTATATTTCCTCCTTGAAACAGAATTTATATTTTTATCCATTCCTAGGCTTACAAAACTACAACCTATCTTTACAAAAAGTAAAACCATTTCATGGCTCTACTTGATCAAGAAGCCTCTATTTGTGAATTTGAACTGGTCAAAAAGTGATGCATCATACTTGATATTGGGGAGCAATTTTAGATGCAATAAACAGTTAACCAATCATAGTTTATAGCAAAAACTGAATTGCAAAGAAGGACAGGAATCTGCACAATCTTCACAAACAAACGTTTTCCTACTACCACTACAAAATCTTACTTCATATCAGTTTAAACCTACTGCAAATTTTAAAAAATCAGATAGAAGCAGAGATACATGACACAAGTGTGTCTATCAGAACCAGATAACTTGGCAATCACTAACCAGGATCGACAAAGCAAAATAATTCTTCTTGATGCCGGAAATTAAGCATTAGCAATTATGATGATGACTTTACATGGTTCAATTTAAGTTATTTAACTGTCTTGTCAATGCACCATTGTCAAGGAAAAGGTCGAAATTCAAAAGTTCAACCAAATAGATATACAATGTCATCTTAAATACATGGTTCCTCTTGCTCCAACATTCTGTAAGTCAAACATTATAAAACATGTCAATGATCCATGTTTCCAGTCCACCCCTACTATGCAGGAGTATCAGGTAAGGAGTGGTTCAATCATCATGGATTACAAGCCCAAGAGTGTACTATAAATCTTTGAAAGCATGGTTGGGAAAAAAGAAGTGAACACGATGATAGAGCTTGACAAAGAACTCATGATTAACACACTAAGTTCATGCGTAGGAGCAGGAGTGAGCATTGGGAAATTAGATGAAACTGCAGGCAAAATGACTGTATGCAAGAGAAGAAAAAGTATCACATAAACACATTATTCACCATGATAATGAATATAGCATGCCAGAAAGGTGGTATAGCCTTTGGAGGAAGCATCACCAATGGATATAGAAGATTATCACTCCGCTACATTTTGTTAACCACTCAAAAACAGGAATCTTCTTCAAAGTAAATTAACATTTTAACAATCCAAGCATCCACTGAAAAAAAAAAGAACAAAATAATTGTGTGCGCACACCGTGTCTCCCTGTGCACACACAGATATTTCTTGATTTGTAAATTTAACACATTATTGATACATTGTCAGAATTTTTTCTAAAAAATCACTTCACAATATAAAAAATATATTATTTAATTCGTGCATCGTGTCGTGTTGGTACTTTTTGGAAGTGATAATGTCATCCACACCTGCAAACAAATCTGAAAAGCAGCCATAGGTGTTGGACGTAGCTTTGCAGCCATCGATGCAGCCAAAGTCACACAGATGGTCATAGCTATAACTCTTGCTAGTAACAGAAAACCTGTGTCCAATCACTTAACAAAATGTCAATGAATATATTCAACTGAAACAATGAAAAACATTATTAACTGACTAACCATTTTTGAGGAATCTACTAAACTGCAAATCCCAAAGACTTGGAAGTAATATATTTACTTGTTTTATTAATTTGCATGAGAGAGTCACAGAGATCAATTGCCTACAAAAATAGTTTCCACATAAGGAAAATTTTAGATTAAAGGTGCTGTGAATAAACAACAATATGGTATCAAAGGAATCTCTGAAATGATAAATAATACTACACATGACAATGGAATAAGAGAAACACAGAGATCAACTACTACAAATCCAGTTTCTACTTGTTTTTATTATTTAGTCATATCATATTAAACCTATCAAGAGTTTAATGGATATAGTATGGATAGAAAACTTACTGAGAAATGACATATGAAATGGCAGCACCATTTACGCCCATATAGCACACACATATAAGAATTGGATCCAAAGTTATGTTTTCCAAATCTCGTGCAACTATTATCACAAAGAAAAACTACAACAAGATGAGGTATCTGAATTTCTGTAGATAAATTTAAATTTTGTTCTATATATATGTATAAACAATAACTTAAAAGTTGATTTACTACGTATCTGTAAGAGGGAAATTAGCAATAGGGGTCTTTCATTTTTCACTTGTCCGAGCCTAATTAATTGAAAGATTATAGTATTAAGGGTTCTTCTGGAATTTCTTCTAAGAAATGACAAGATCACAATCAAGGGATTCAAATTGTTTGCTAAAAAAAGATTCAAATGGTTGTATCTATTGCTTAATGTGGAAAGATTTCTTATTCTGAATGAAAAGAATAAAGAATGAATGTGTAAACAAATGAAAAAAGAGAGAACAACGTATAGAGTAATTGACTTAACAGTGACAAAAAGTGGAGTTTTAGTGTCGTTGAAACCTCGAAAGACTTCTTCCATGGCCAAAGAAAGAATAACAGCTGGAGCCCTAAGTGATCTTAGTGTCTAGCACAGGAGATCCCTACATCAACATTCAAGAGGTGTATCCATTGAAAAACATAAATACTCTGTACAGGCAAATGGTTATTGTTCACTTAACAATGCATGATGAAAAGGTACCAAGAAAATGATGATGAACAAATGAGAAAGTTTTTACTCGGCCATCACTAAATTATAAGAGAAACAAAGATTCAATGTAAATCACAAAAAAATCAAAATTTCCTTGTTATAAAACTAACATATAAGCCTCGTGAATATTCATATGAAAGAGAAGCAACAAAAAATAAAATCAAATTATCAAGAAAGAACAAAAAAAATCTAGTATTGTGAACTCAACAATGCATCTGAATTTCAGTAAAAAATAACAATAACAAAATCAGAAAATTTTTATCACAGAAAGCATAAATTAAATTGGTAAATTACTATACCTCAGGGCACCCCTTTGTGGACACAGACTAACTACAACCAACACGAATTCGAAAATAAAAATTATGTACCTTCAATCCAACCAAAAAAACAACAAAAGTATTTTAATGTGAGAGCTAAAAGAAACTACCCACAGTTTCAATCCAAATAATTTTACTGCAACACACAAAAAACAGAGGAAGATAACAGCTTCAAATAATATCGCGCACATAAGCCTTCTCCAGAATATATGCAAATATATTAAAAACACAAGTAGATATTGGATCCAAAATCTTAAAAATGATCAGCATTGAGGTCTACCTAAAAATTAAAGAAACCTAGATTCAAAAACTCAAAATCGTACATCGGAATCGAACTTCAATTGAAAAGCACATCTAGGAGTTCACACAAATAAGATTGAATAGAATAACTAAATAAGCATCCTAAAACCATTTCATCAACCATCAATGTCAAGAAAAAAAATGTTTTTGAATAAACTAAGTTCAACCACAATCCAAACATATTAACGTATCCTCCCTGAAAATGAATACCACTCTGAAATTTCAGAAATAAGAGACGATAGGGAGATAAAGAAAGAGGTAACAACACTACAAAAGAACAAAACCTCTATTATTTTACAACAGATCGAAACGGGGATCTGAAAGAGCAAAAATGAGAATCGATGAAATACAACATATCGATTGTGGAGAATAAAAACCGAAGGAATATCTGCAATATTTTGTTGTATCAGTACAGACAAACAAGATTGAACAGAATAATAATTATATAAACATCTTAAAACTTCAATGTCAAAAAAAAAAAAAAAAAAATCTTGATAAACCAAGTTTTAACCACGACGCAAACATATTAACGTACCGTACTCTCCCTGAAAATGAAAACCTCTCTGAAATACAGCAAATCAATCGTAGAGAAGAACCGAGCGAAATCGAAAAGGGGATCTGAAAGGGCTAAAATATAACAAGATGAAATGCAGCAAATCAATCGTAGAGAAGAAGAACCGAGCGAAATTTTGCGAAATTTTATTGATTTTACAACATATGATCACATTTGTGAAATTCGTTAGGGTTTCAAAAGGGGACACGAAAACGTGAGAGAGAGAGAGTGGAACTGTGGAGGGGAAAAAAGCATCCAGAGACCGAAGGAGAGAGAGAGAGAAGCGTACAAAGGAAATGGACCGTGGCGTGTGAAACCGGTCATGAGTGAGTGTGGGTGAGTTTGGAAGCCAAAAAAGGGGATAAAAAGTGGAGTGGACGATGACATCAGCTTTACGTCAACAATGATGTAATTTGAACAGTGACAAACAAGTTCTCTCTTTTAATATTGTAGAGGATATATATATATATAATTTATTTATTTATTTAAATATAATTACACTTCCATGACAACTTTTTCATTTATATTTAGGATAAAAATGTTTGAACAAGGCCTAAGTGACCCTTTTCAAATAGGGGGCGATGTGGCGTCCCCTTATAGGCGGGGCGACTGTAATCGTACCCCTGTTCATGTAAAATGGTCCTTATATTTATGCATTTTTTTTATTGTACCAAGGTTCAAAATCATAAAGCATATCATGTCTAATGTTTGTTACATAAGCCTGTGACTGAGTAAATTAATTACAACTAAACCTAAAACTAGCTAATAGAGTGATTCAGTAACCTGCTTTACAAGAACTTAATTATGAATTAGATCTCCTCACAGCAATCTCCACTACGATAGAACCAGACAATGAGTTTACGTTATTTGTATCTTATGCACTACAGTTTTCACATAGAACATTGAAAATGACCATTATCATTGTTTTGAGAAGGATTTCGGCTATTCTTTGAGGCACTTTACATATTAGGCTGTTGTTAAGAATTTTGAATCTTACATTATCAGTGATCTTTCAAGACTTTTTTCTTATTGAGTCGCATGCCTCAAGGCATAAATCTCGTAGTAGTTGAGGTGTGCGCTCCCACAGTCGAGAGTCGACCAATATATTTTAGAAGATTCAGAACAAATGACTACAACTCTTCTTTTTGACTAGGGGGAAGAATGAATGAGTAAAATCAAATAAAGTGTGGTGAAATGAAGTTTTATATGATGTTAAGTATGCCATTTAGTATGTATTAGTGTAAGTTCATATGTAACGTGGGATCAAGATCCATGAAGTCTAAAATATGTTGTAATCTAGCTTGAAATCCAGGTTCTTATGCCTTCTGCAAAACAATTTGCATTTTTACAGCATAATTCCCTTTACTGGCTTTCTGAAGGGTATTTTCGATGTAACGATTATTCGATGAAAATGGTTATTTTTAATCTAATAGTTATTCTATGATGATGAACAAGCAGAATCATGAAAGCCTAGCACTAAATATCATATTGCCATGACTGGATATATGCACATGTTTTCTTTAATAATTTAATTCAGATTTTTTTTTTGAAACTGAATACGTTTAGTAATTGTATGTGCTTCTCGTGTTCTAGAAATAAGTTAAAATCGCATAAATAGATGCACAAACTATTATGACTTGTTTGGTAGGGTGTACTTTATAGCTGAAAAGTCTGAAATCGTCTATAATGTTGTCAGATTCTTTTATATGAGCCTTATCAGTAAAGGATAGATTGTTGAGGACAGTAAGAAGAGAAACTCTAGTTTTAACTATACTCCTAAAGAAGGATTCTAAGTTCTCTTCAAGTTCCTGGATGGTCATTTCTGATGCATTCAACTGCTTCAAGATATTTTGCACAGATACTGTGTCCATGTCTTTTTGCAGTTTGTGAATATTCAAGGCATACCATTCCTCAGCATTCTTTTCTTCATGTGTCTGAGCATGTACCCAGCTTGATTGGAAATTGGAAATCAGGGTACATGTTTTTTGCCTTTGAAGCAAAAATGGTCAGTGCAGACTTGAGGACCGAAAAGCCAATGACCTGTGCTTCTTTTACCATGCTCACAATGGCCTTAAGATTGTTGTCTTTGTTTAACAGCTCTGTAGAACATAGGTACGAACTCTTCAAAATTTTTATGCACTTTTTAACCATTTTGTTGATCTTTTTTCTTGAATTGATATATTCATTCATGTCTCTATTTCTCCTCAAAGATGATTGGAGTTCTTGAACTGATTCCTTTGTCAAATATATAACATCACAGACAATTCCACAAATGTCAACAAGCTTGAGAGATCTATCGAGCAACTCACTTGCCCAATTTTCACCGGTGAGGGCTTGTTGGACAGATCGAAGCTGAATCAAATTATTAATTCCTTCGTGCAAATCTGTGAGGCTGGCCAGCTGAGTGCATATGGAAGAAGATGATACTGAAGTCTGGTGGACTTTAGCCTGCATAAATGATCTTCAACATTAGCAATTTCTGGATGAGATTTAGATGGCAAGCTGTTTGATCTAACATGGAAAGCCAGTCTTTCTTTAGTGAAAAGAATGATTTTTAAAACTTTTGTAGAATTTGAGTCTTGAGGAAAGATGTTCAAGACAATCCCTTCGGCACCATCTATATATAGAAAGATGAATAGAAGGAAACAGAAAGAATATGTTGCACATCCAATGTCTCATCACTGCTGGAAATTCAAATAAATATTATTGCATCATGCTCCAAGAATCTGAAACAAAAATGGGACAAGCTTTGAATATTTTGTTGTTAACACATAATGCCAGGATTTGAAGCTGAAAAATTGGATCATGCAGATCTCAGTAACATGAAGGACTACTTTCTTGAAGCATTTGCAATCTTGCAGCAATGAAGATGTCATAATATCGGTCATTCAACTCATGAAGGCTGGGGACTGGGGTCTTGCTTATCTTTGGACAACAAAGGAAGTATAGTATAGGGAACACACGAGTACATGTAAACTTGCCCAACAACAAACGGAATCATTTAATTGTCAAAAGTGCCAAAAAAAAAAAAATCCCACCTGCAAACAGATAATAAAAAACAAACTTAGCCCCACGTTTTTCATGCTTGATTATGGCTCAGCTTTTTTATTTCTCATCAACTAATTAGCCCATGGTCCAGATCAAACAGAATCTTGACAACTTACACTATCATATTATTGCTCCTGGCTGTTGCATTATCATATTGTCGTCACTGATTAAACACATGGTTTTATTCATAATTAAGTTGTGATAAATTTTTCTATTTCACAGTTCTAGTCATCCATGTGATTCAATTTATTGTAAGTGCTTGTTTTGTTTAGAGATGAGATAGAACCAGAATAGAACTACTGCACAGAATATTAAATGAAAACAAAAACTTTGATGGAAAAGGTGAAAGTTCAATCCCTAAATGGAAATTATGGTATGCTTGGTTGAGATAAAACTCTTGGAAAAGAAAACAGATCAGTATATATTGAGACAAATAGAGAGATTCATAAACAAATATGAGCTGAAGGTTCAAATATTGAGTGTATTGTACCTATATGATTTACAGAAGTATATGAGAGCGATCACAAAAGGCTAATGGTTAAGGACATTCTAGTTTTAACTGAACTCCTAGAGAAGGCTTCCAAATTCTCTTCAAGTTCCTGGAAGATCATTTCTGATTCTTTTAACTGCTTCGTGACATTTTGCACAGATAATGTGCCTTTATCTTTTCGCAACTCGTCGATGCTCAAAGCATACAATTCTTCTCCTGTTTGGTAATGTACATGGCTTGATCGACTGAACTTGGAAACCAATGACCAAGCTTTTTGCTTTGATGCAAAAATTGTTAATGCAGACTTGAAGACAGAGTGTAAGTGTTATGCCCTAAGTCCAATCAATTTGGACATAAACATTTTAAATATATATATAATTGATACATATGTATGGCAATATCTATTATTTAATTGAATTAATATTTTAATAAATTAAATAATAGAATCCATAGATTCAAGTTTTGGTGATTTGTTAAATTTGTAAGTGTTATGCCCTAGGTCCAATCAACTTTGGACATAAACACTTTGAATATATATAATCAATGCATATATATGGCAATATCTATTATTTAATTGAATTAATATTCTAATAAATTAAATAATAGAATCCGTAGATTCAAGTATTTGTGATTTGTTAATTATAAGGAGTTGTGATTGTGAGATAGAAATTACACATGATCGAATCTTAAATCGCCCGTGGTCGAAATAATAACGAGATACATATATCGTTATTACGGATAGATCATTGCATGTGGCATTATTACTTGTGAAGTAAGTAGCTGATCTCACAATCTAAAGTGTGGTGATACTTGAATGAACACGCGAATGTTTTGTTATAGAACAAAACATTGGAGACCCGCTGAGAGATTCCATATGGATAACATTTGATTGTTAGTGGTTAATCTCTAACGTTCGGTAGTGGAATTGAACCTTTAACTTGAGGTCATCATAGTACCTTATATGAGGACAGTCATACTTTGATGGTATTGGATGTTGCTCTGCCAAGAGTCTCTAATACAGTATCGTTCGGGTATGTCAAGAATCATATAAATGTTGTGAATGATCAATATGTGATTCATCACTCTTAGAAAGTAAGAGATTATGATCCACATTTTATCCGATTAAGTTAATAATGAAATCCTTGGCCAAGGTGAACTCATAGGTCGAAAAAGAGTTTTCTACTTACATTGACTTAACACTGGGATAAAAGATATGATCGATAATTGAGATTGACACATATCTATATCTCATTATTGATTGGATCATATTGACTAAAGGATTATAATTTCACGGTAAACGAATAAGTTTGGTTTGTCACATCACGTGACGTTTCTCATCACATTTATTGCCTTGACACATTGTCAGATGTCAATCTGGGACGACAAATGTGAATTAGTGATAAATTAAAAGGGGTGTTTTAATTTATCAATTTTGATTAGATCAAAACAATAATTCACGTCGTTAGGCATCGTGATCGGGAACCTAATGGGTCACACAAAAAAGAGAACCAGAAGAATGAGATCTATCAATTAATTAATGGACAAGTGTTGAATAATAAATTAATTGGATTGCTTATTAATAGACCTGAATTAATTAATTGGATTAATTAATTCATGGACCGAATTTAATTCATTTGATTAATTAAATATTGGACCGGGTAAAGTTTAGGGATGGGCCAAGCCCACTTGGGTTTATATTAATAGGCTACTAAGATTTGTAAATTGTAGAGATTTTTATTATTCTTGCTAACACAAGTAAACCCTAGCCGTCATTATTGTTCTCTGTGTGGATCATCATTGAAACCATTATTCTTGTTCTCTATGTGGATCACTATTGGAGGTTGGACAATTGGACAGCTTGGATTGCAGATCGTGATTATTAGAGTTCGAGAATCAGCAAAAGAGTTTGCAGAATTCATCAAAGGTATTATCTTCATCACAATTTCTATCTAAGCACGTTGCAGATCTTTGGTAGATTGTTTTCTTTATTTAAGAGCAATGCAGAACATTTATTGGAACTCTTCAAATTTTTTATGCACTTTTTAACCGTTTTCTCTATCTTTTTTCTTGAATTCATATATGTATCAATGCCTCTATTTCTTCTCAAAGATGATTAGAGGTCTTCAACAAATTCATTTGTCAACAATATGACATCTCGAGCAATTTCACATAAATCGACTAGCTCGAGAGATCCATCGAGGAACTCACTGTCCTGATCGATGAGGGCTTACTGGACTGATGGAAGTTGAATCAAATTATTAATACCTTCGTGCAAATCTCTAAGGTTGGCCGATTGCGCGCAGATGGAGGAAGCTGAAACAGATGCTTCTTCTGAGGACTTTAGCTTGCATAAATGATCTTCAACATTAGAAATTTCTGGGTGAGATTTAGATGGCAAACTTGTTGGGTATTTTTTGTGATGCCCAAATAATCCCAAGGCGATGATGAAAAGCAGTGGCCCGTTTAATTTCATAGGTTATAAGTTCGGGATTGAAGGATAATTAAAGTCCACACCACAAATGTCGTAGCCCAAATCTTGTTGGGTATTTAGAGGAAATCAGCCCATTGGGCTAGATGCTCAATACCCAACTATTGGAGATAAAATGATGGGGGTTTATCTCTTTCTTCATTCAAACTTGTAGAACTCTATCTTCTGTCTAAACAATCTTCGATTTTGATAATGTCTATCCTTGGAGAGAAAAATTTGGGAAAATTGATTCAACTCCTTGCCTGTAAATTGGAACCTCTCGTCCTCAATTCAATACACTAAAATCACTTTGCTTTATGCCTCTTGAAGAAACAGAAAATCAGCTCCTTGCTTTGTGCAAAATCCTTCCTTGCTTTGTGCAATTTCTCCAGTCCTTCTTCCCGTCTTTGTGTGCCCTAGTCATTCTCCAAAACTTGGTGTTACCTTTGTGGTGGTGGATCAGATTTTCTGAGCCTAAAGGGGAATTCTATTATTCTACTGTTCTTCAACTTTGTGTTCTTGAATTGATTTCCATTTATTGTTTAATTTCATAAACTAATTTGTTTGATTTGTTCAATTGTAGGTGGAACTAAATTCACAAATTGGTATCAGAGCTTGGTGGAGAATCAAATTTGAAGAAAAAACGCAGAAGCAGAAACTGGAAGACGAACAGGGAAGTTTTTTTGAAAAATTGGACCTTCTTTCGTCGATTCCGACCAAATCAGTGATCGGACAGAAAAATCAAGACCAGACCCATACTTTGCAGGCTGAGGCGCACCTAGTGGTGGTGCGCATGATCTCCGATGGCGGCGCGAACGATGGTGCGTGGGCAATCCGGAGAAGGCGCGTGGCGGCGCGTGAGGAGGAATCCGGCGAAGGTTTCTTCAGGCAGAATTTTTATTTTGATATTTCTAACCTACGTGTGTTGCTAGTTTTTCATTTCAGGAACTGCTGTAAAAGTTGGACGATTTTGCCCCTGATTGGTTGTCGGTCAAAATTGCCATATACATTTACTGAATTACTTTTGGCCATAAATTGCGGCCTACAGCAGTAAATTCGTATATCTCGTAAATTACGAACTCAGAAAGGTTCGCTCTGGTAAATTGGCTGAAACCTTTACATTACTTTAGGCCATAAATTGCGGACTAAAGTAATAAATTCGCATCTCTCATAAATTACGGACTCAGAAAGGGCTGCATGGTAAATTGGCTGAAACCTTTACATTATCACACTAGTAGATCATCGTGTGGGGTGATAATTAGGATTGGGGTTGCCATTGCTTGGTAACCATTGCTTGTTCGTAGAACCTAGGATTAGTTGCCATTCCCTGTTTAATTTCTAAGTGAAATTATTTATTTATTGTCTTTAAATTTATTTGTTGAACGTTATTATTGAATCTTATATTATTTTAGACTTGTACCCGGACTCATATTCTAGTTCCTTCCCTTG